GCACCAGCGGAAATGTTCTTACGTTAACGGAATAAGTTGGTTAAAAAAAAAAAAAAAAAAAACAATAATTGATCAACTTTGAAGAGTTCTATCTACCCTCGGACAGCAGCATTCGTTAAGTTTTCCGTTAATTATTTTCTGTGCGTCGTACTAATATTTAAAAAAAAAATACAGATTGCTAGTTTATTATTTAATTAAAAAAAAGGACCAAAATAGTTATTCATGATAGTAAAAACAAATATAATATTCATGAAAATAACTAAAAATGAATAATAACTGATAATCATATGTTGAAATCAAATTTATTTCTCGATTCGTGTCGCTCGAATCGTGATCGGAAACGATCAGTTCAACGTGATCGACATTCATGGTACATTTATGTATATTCATTATTTTCTTCCGGCAGATTTTAATTTATTTTTTATTTTTATTTTTTTCTTCAACTCCAGTCGTTCGTTTTAATATAACAAGATCATTCGACGGGGCATTCAACTACAAACCCGTTTGTTGATATATTATACGAGTGTAGGAATGATACAAAATGAAATACAACACAAGTTTTCACAGAATCTATGATTTCATATTAAGTTGCACGGTGTTATTTTTTCTTTTTTTTTTCTTTCGTCGATTGCTCTTCTTACACGAGGTTATGTAGTTGATACGCATATGTAATATAAAATTTAGTTCGTATGAGAATAGCATTTAAATTATAGTACTACTTCTGTACCGCGTAGTGATGTTCCCGTCAAGTTTGTTCTAAGCATACGGCTCGGTCCATTCCCCGACCGTGAACGCTTATTATTATCGTCCGTCGTATGCGAGGAGGTCACATAATTGTACACGTTTAATTTTAAACAAGATATCATAATAATCTATACATGATCAACAAAATTGATCGACAGCAAACTGTTTCCATAACCAGTGTTGGCAATAGATAATGCAAAATTTATCTAGATAAAGATGAAAGATAAAAAAAATTAAAATATCTAGATAAAGATAAAAGATAATTTCATTTTTATCTAGATAAAAAAAAGATATTTTCAAAAAATATTATTTGTTGGTCAATATTTCATATTTGTAATAATATCTATGAAGATACAATTATAATCATTATTATCAATAGGTACCTAAGTGTTTAATGTTTATTGTAGTAATGTAGTGTATCATTAAGCAGTATTTATGTATTAAGTTCAGTATTTAATGATAATTAATCACTAAAATGTGACACAAAAAAGAAAAAAAAAATGAAAATTGCTTAGTATCAGGATGAATACAGAATACATAAAAGATTATTTTAAGTTAACAATATTGTTTTCCATATAATCTCAATTTGATGATTTTCATTATTCTATAAGTAGTTAAGACTTTACAGGTTCCAAGAGTGAAGTATTGACTATTCAGTGTATGAGTTACGTGTGTATACGTAACTCAATGTATACGTAAATCAAATATATATAATAATAATAACTATATTTGGAACTTCCATGGAAAAATAAGAAATTAAGTTTAAAAATTTTTCCGACATGAAAATATAAACAAAATGTCATACCAAGAAATAATAATTACTTATTAATAATACACGAATTATAATTATGAATAAAAAATCTATATATATAAAAAAAAGTTGGGTTAGTTAACAAAATTTATAATTCAAGAACGGCTAGACTGATTTTGATGATCTCTGATTTATTGGATTCGTCTCCATACAAGAATAAAAATAACTCTAATCCAGGCGAGAATTCAGACAATTATCTAGATAAGTAAACATTTTATCTTAGATAAGTAATTAGATAACTTAGCGTTATATATCTAGATAAGATAAAAGATGACAAAAAATCTATCTAGATAATTTATCTAGATAAGTCCCAACACTATCCATAACTCATATGCTTTTCGATTATACCTTACACACTTATCGTCACCCAGCGATTTTTTTTTTTTAGATAAGTTCGTAAGATTTTCACGATTAACTGATAAGTGATATTTAATATTTAAATGAAAATTAAATAAATAAATATTTTTTTTTTTGACTCTATATCATTTTCCATGCGAAAATGTTATTGGCATACACATAACAGATTACAGTCCTCGGTTACAAATAATACCATCGATTATACAAGTGATAACATATTTGTATTTATCAATTAATTTTAGAGATTTGTGTAGTGCATTGATTAGTTACGAATGACGACTGACTTGTATTTTTATTTTTGATCAAAATGAAACAAGTAATTCAAGTATACTAAATTTTTTATCAAAAATTAAAAAATGAATATTATAACTTCATGTTTTTCATAATTTGATGTCATCTATAAAATCGTCTTAACATTGTCGGCCGTCTATTGAGAAATCCCAATTCATTCCAAAGAAGTTCTTGATATGATGATTTAGAAATCAAGAAAACTGATATTTATTTTATTTTATTTAATATTTTAATTAAAAATATGGTATTTTTTAATTTTAATTTTGCGTATGCTGTTTTTGTATAAAAAAGGAGATGGGGAAGGCTTGGCTCCTGTGGCACATATTTTAATAAATTTTCATACCCCCTTCACTCCCCCCAATACAAAATCCTGCGAACGCCTCTGGTCGCCCGATACAAGTTCGATCGAAATACCGACGAAACCCATTCCGTTTTCGAGATTTTTTTTTAATTCTTCGTAAATTCGTTGCGATGGACCAATAATATTTGAAAAAAAAAAACTAACCTTGAAAGTACTCGGTGCATATATAACACGTAATTTACCCAACAGCGACATATTTTGGTGTTTGTCAAAGAACGTTTTTTGTGTACAGTAAAAAATACAAATCATATTTTAAAAGCAAAAACACAATGGTTGTACAAATGTTGTAGTTTAATGCTCAGTAAAACGCGACCAATGGTTTTTTTTTTGTTTATTTTCGAACACAAGCGACTGTTAAAATTCGTCTAAAACGAATCAACAGTATAGTAATTATATCTGTTGACAATACGAGTATTCGTGCACGTGCACGCGTCGCAACGGCTTAATGGAAAGCCGTGTCAGCACTGAAGCGGTCTGCCGTAATCATAGTCGAATTTATTACACGCGAATCCTGTCAAAAGGAAAACATTTGCATTTCCCATTCAGTCCGTAATTGTGGTTTGTTTAACGTTGGGAAACATAGTTTTATCGGAATCGATCGATTTGTTTTCGCAGAACATATCGACGAGTCGAACGATGTGAACGGAGAAGGCCACGGACTGTCAGTTGCTGTTGTACCGAGGACGAAATTCGAGTTGGACTGTACGAGATGAATTCGGGAAGTCAAGTACGTGCCGAGCGTTTTTTCATTATTCAGCAGAGATCGCAGTGCGTCGAAGTTTGAACCGTTCGGTGTTCATATCCTACCGAATACTGTACAGTCGACCGCGGACCGCAGGCCTACAATACTGTAATAATACATTTAATTTGATTTAATTTTGTTAATTTATTTTTAATATAATTTTCGAAGCGATTCAGGCGAAAAATATAAACGTATTTGTGTTATGTAGGTTAATGCGTACGCGCGATATTTTGTGGGGAAACCTAACGTAAACGGTTTTACGATTGAGACGTTCTCGACAAATGCACCGTGTGTTAATAATAACGTTACTCCGTGGGATATATTTAGCCGACCGGTTATTTTTTCTTTATTTATTTTTTTTTTCCGAATACATTATTTTATTATTGCGTCTCCGTATTATTTAACACTCGTATAAATTATTTCCATTACTCTTCGGGCTCGCCGTGCAGTGTTTGTAAAGCGGCACCGTTTGTGTGTCACACGTACGTCTCACGGAAGGAGACTCCGAGGTCGTGGCCGAGAACGTCCGTCCGTCTCTTCGGTCAGAACCTGCACGACCGGTGTCCGGTCGTATTTACACCGTACGTAAGAAACTGTTCGATGAAAGTTACGACATGACAGAAAAACGAGAAAAGTCCAACAACAATTACATATGCTGTTCAAGTCGGTCCGAGAAGTACTTGACGTAGAGATGCTGCGATTTTTGTCGCACTAAACGTATTCACTGTTTCCTGAACTTTTATTGTTTTCGTTTTATCGTAACTTTCGTCGAATTTTTATTTTTTTTTATGCCTGCCCATAATTTCGATCCCGGGATTTCGTTTTTTTACTAACGTTTTTCCTCGTTAAGCCAATCATGTTTAATATATTAATCGAACTGTTCTCCGATGATAGTCGATCCGTTTTTCATTTGGTGCTATAATAAATGCATTTTATAATCGACTTTATCGTTCTATGTACCCAAGGCCGGATTAAGAGGGGGTCTAGCCGTGGCAGTAACCCCGGGGCCCTCTCGAGTACCCAAGTGAAAGAGGCCCAAACAATTTTAAGCCGATACAAAATTTTTATCATACTAAAATTAGTAGTTTTATATATTTATTAATTTTATAATTCTATAATGCAATTGACAATTTGTGAAATAGTTAAAAAGTAAATAGTTAAAAAAAAATATTATCGTTCTACGAGCTTAACGAGCGGCTTTGTATAGCATGTTTTGTCAAAAGTACCCATATAAAACTTAAGCTCCGGGGCCTAATAGGTGCTTAATCGGGCCTTGTACGTACCTATTCCATTACGGTAAATTGCAGTTTTGACGTTAAATAATCGTGTAATTTCATTTTAGTTCTAGGCGATAGACGATTAATATTTTCAGATCTCAGCAATTCAAACACCTTCCTCGTAATTATGCAATTATTACCTAGAAAAAAATGTGATAAATTTTAAATAATCAGATAAATAATGTTGAAAGAAAATAATATAGTCGAAGAGTATGTAAGTTCATATAAAAAGAATAAAAAAATATTGTACTAGATTGTATTTATTTTTTACAACTCCTATTTATTTTTATATAACATTTAACCCTTAATTATGTTATATAATGTTATTTATTATGTTAACATTTAAATAGTTGTTCTACTATAGTATTTTATAAAAAAAAAATACATAATTTCTAATTGTGTAGCCATTTTCAGAATTCAGCTATCGTTAAATAAAACTGATATTATATTAAATGTTCACCGCAATAAATACAAGTGAATAGCGCGAATTCATTCCGTCTCTAACATCGTTTTCAACATCACTTTGCCGTTGAAATAAATCAATTTTTTTTTCGACAACAAATCGAACGGTGCGTGTTACGGTAGAGATAATTGTGTAACATTTATCAAGATTTACCAAATGTTGGAAAGCAAGTGTTGTCCACCTACAAATGCGATTTTAACCAACTGTGTGCCGTGAAACCGTGATGATGACGTACGGAGCGAGAAAACGAGCTCGGAACGACGTACGACAACCCTTGCACAACGGAAGTGCACGACGCGGCGTCCGGAGTCCACCATTACCATCATCACGACCATCAATGGGGCCGAACACGTACTCCGGGTAGTTTAACTGAACTGCCTAGAAAATTGGAACGTTTAAAAAAAAAAAAAATGATGAAATTCATCAAATTAATTATTTCATATACAACTTGGCAAATGCAATATTAATGTATTATTTTTTGTATTATTGTTTACAGATGCTTGAAAAAAATGGAAATTTGAAAAGATGATAAACTGGAAGGGCCGGGTGGGTCAATCTAATCACTTGAACTGGTAGTTTCGATTTCATTCGGCGCCACTGACGACTACCACCTGTTAGCACAGACGCGCGATGCACACCGTTTGAGATTTTGTTGTTACTATTACGATTATATTTCGGCGCACGTTTCGTTTTCCGGTTTCTGAACACGGGAAACATCGTGTGCGAGCAGTACGTCCGCGTCGCGTCCGTCACGGTTACCGGTACGTCGTACATAGGTGTATTTATGAATTCATCGCAACCAGTATTAGAAAAACTAAGAGGCACGTCAACGACACGATTACAGTGGAAACGTTTTTTTCGGAAAACTGTACAGTTTCTCGGAAACGATGTTCGAAAGTTAGTATTCGACGAGAATCGCAAGTCTCTACGGTCGTTATGTGTATTCTGTTGAGAGGTTCGAAAAAATCACTTCCCAAATGTGTGCCCTGTGAATAATGATCGGAGCAATCCTTCCGGCCGTGATGGACAAACACAAAAAATAAAACGAAAAAAAATACCTATCACGGTGATAACGAACATCCGAGTCCAATCGTTCACTCGGATTCTGTTACTCGGTAAGGATACTTTATTAATATTTTAAAATTTTTAAAATTTATTATGGTTTTTACACAAAGAACAGATTATCGAATACATTTGAAATGGCTCAGGTGATATTATATTAATTTTTTTTTGTTCAAAATACGTTAGGAGACCGAGAATACCGAAATGTTTAGCTCTTACAGCATTGATCCGAAAACGTGATTAAGCTGATTAACTTTTAAGTTCGAGTTGCAAACATTTCTAAACACACGCCAGTGGGCACCGAACGGCGGCCAGCGGAAGAGGTCAATTTTGCGCATTCCTTTGATGTAAAAATAAAAAATAAAACGAATTTTCTCATCGACACGGAAACGTTGAAATTTTCGTTAGAAACCTTTTTGCTGTAATAATAAGCACGGATGATTTATTCTCATTTGGATTCGATCGATTCGAACAGAGCGTATTCCGCTCGAACGCATATTACTGTTGTACGAATACGATAACCGATAATCTATTCCTATTCGCCGACAAGAGAACGTCTGCTCCGATCGATTTGTAATCGTGGTTCTGCCCGTCATAGCGCGAGGGACGTGGCAAATTAATTGTTCGTAGAAATACGTCGTGTCCGGTTCTAGGTCGATATTAGGTAGAGTTTAATACATCGTTCCAATAATATATGCATATGATTATCGTTCACGTGGCGTTAAGATTTTTCTTACAGCTACAAAATATCAGTGGCGCCATTTGGACCGCACAGCGTATAAATTTGCAATAAATTTAAAATCTAATGCTGTAGTCATTTGTCCCACTTTATAAATCGATTGGCCTGAATAATTGATGCGCTTAACTGGTCGATATATTTTATTTTTAAATAAATATTTTGTATTTTTTTCTGAATTAAAAGCAAAAACATTTGCCATTACATTACTTAATTTATACGGGTACAGTTCATAATTATGAAAATTAACAACTCTTTAATATTTTCCTTATTTTTAATCTTTTAAGTCTAGAATATTTTGATCCAACTTCCACTATTTGAGAATATTTTTTTAATACATTTCGCATATTTTAATATAAATAAAGCCAAAATCGTAGTCAAAACAATCCGATCATATCGACTACAAAACAATTATTATTACTTTATTGAAATTCCCTTCTGCATTTTCTGAAATTCTCAAATTACATTCGATTATTTTCACTTTACTTAAATACAACAACTTCTAATGAAAGATTCATCTCGTTCTTAAAATGAGTAAAAAGCTTTTTTGCGCTTGACAACGGGCCATGATAGATTAAATGATTTGATGGTTATCAACGTAGAACCATATATTGCAAGCAATTTAGATATAATATAGATGAAGTTGTAAATAAGTTTGTAAGCATGAAGATGTATCGGTATTCTCCTAAATATTGACAAAAAATATATCTGTAACTAATAAACGCTATTGTATAATATTTATCATCACCTCTTGTTTTACTGATTTTCTTAATCATATGATTTCGTAAATACCATTATTATTATTATATTTAATTAATAAATGGTAAAAATTTTAACATTTTTTTAGTAATATTACTTTTGGAGTTATGACTACATAACGAAAAACGATTTAGCGAAAAAGTTGTTTTTGACAAATTTTACTATTTTTTCTCAATTTTTCAACAGTTTTTCCTCACGCTTAGAAAAACCATTGAGAGAAAAACGTCATTTAAAACAATTTATACGCACTTTCCATAGAACTGCTAGATCAGACTTTTAAACCATATTTACTACCTAAAAAATAGTTAACAAAAAAAAATAAATATATAATAAACACCAGTGCTCACTCAAAAAAGTTTTCGTTAGTTATTTTATGCTTTATTTATTGTAAATATAATAACGTAACACCGGATCTCGAAAACTTGAGGCAAGGATATATGTCAAGATGGTCTTAGTGGCTTAGATTACTGAAGAAGAAGAAGAAATATAATAATATCTACTATTAGATGGATTTGTAAAATTGTTCTACTAATCCATCGTATAGTAGGTATTATTATACTTGTTCGTCGTCTTCAACAATAATTATTATTGCTTGAAAGTATGCGGATTATTTTATTTTTGTTGTGTTGAAAATTTTAAATAGGCTTGGTGACCCGTTCTATACGCCATGCGTATTAAAAAAAAAATTTAAAAAAATTGAAATGACGCCACTGCATCGAATAACAACTGCAATAATTAGAATACAATATTCGTAAGATGGTACATCGTTCGGCGGGTAGAGAACAAAAAAAATAAATAAACAATAATATAATAATTTAAATTCAGAACCGGAAACGGATTCCAAAAAAAAAAAAATTAAAAAAACGTACTCGTGTTGTTTTTTTTTTATTCTTCATAATACTACTCGCATACGATATAATATTACAACGATGATGATAAAAAACTTTACGAACGTCGCGCGCATTCACTTCACGTGCAATATAAAGAAATTGTGTCATTATTGCAGGACTGGGCGGACCGAAAACCGTAGGCCTTCCGTTATTTTTCTGAGCGCGCGCGCGACTGCACATTTTTATCGATGGAAAACCATTCGTTTCGCGATCCCACCGACTTTTCGACAGTTTCGTGTGCGCGTTGTTTCTCACGCGTTACCACAGGCCCAATTAGGGGGGGCGCAATAGGGTTTTAAGGACACCCGAGTTCAAATGTAGCATCCTGACTTATTTTTTTACAGATCTATATAATCTATAGTAATTACAGTTGAATACCGTTTAATTTTATTTTCAGCAATTTCAGCACCCCCGATATTTGGGCTCTAGTTGCGTCCATGCGCGTTACGTTTCCTTTTGGCTTTCCGACCGGAGTGCTGCATGTGTATTTTGCATGTGCTCTCTCGTTGTTTGCCGATCGCTATTTGCCATTCCGATTCCTTCCCCTACCCGAATCCTCCAGTGAAGTGTCGCAGTTAAGTGAGAAACAACAGTTCACGTAAACGTAATGTTTTCCACCGACGACCAGACGATCTCAAACGTATTGTTGCGGTTCTACGGCAATACGTGAACATTTCACGCGAATAATTGTTAAAAAAAAAAAAAAATAAATGTTATGGTTTTGCTTCCGTATCAATCGTATTATTATATATATGTTTAATAACTCGAGCTTCTATAAAGCGATCCGTTTCCGTAATATTGTATTTTTTTTTTTTTTAGTCGAGTATTATTTCGGTAATTATATGGTACGGGCACGTGTATAAAACTGTCCTCAAAAAATAACGGTAACATTCTTAGTAACTGTACATCGTACGTTATGTTACAGAGGAATTTGTCGGAGCCTCTTTTTTTTATTTTATTTTTTTTAAAAAAAAAAAAAAATAAACGATCGGTGTAAACGTAAAACAAACATGCATATTACCGTAACGTTTCATTATTAAAACCAATACGTACGGACGTGTTATACAACATTCGGTTTTCTTCGTACGGAACGGTCGTGTGTTTACCAACGCACACAGCTTTGTGGTATTCAACGCACACAGAAATACTATTCAATTTATTCGGAACGATTTCCTAGAACATTATTATTGTTACGTCCGTAATGCACGCGCGTTTTGTTTTGCGCCTTTCCTGCGAAACGGTTTATTCAAATGTACCATACTCCGCGACCCGTTCAGTTGGGCCGCAATAAAAACAGTATTGTAAAAACCGAACGATCACAATGGAATCGTTCGAACCGCACAAGTCATCGGACCGATCGGTAAATCAACTGCGAGCTGTGCCTCGCTCGGGAGTTGCGAAAAACTTAACTCGCCGATCCTGTTAGCGGTCGGTAAACGGTTGTGCTTGAAGACTGCACGCAAGCTGTGCCGTATATGTGCCTACGGGTGGTAGGCGACCATCGAAAAAATACGTTTAACGCTATTCGCAGACGATACCATGAAGTGGACGAAAACCGTACTTAGGCGCAGAACGGGTTTTGTGTAAACGTGCGTACAAAGCGTTCGGAATAACAATTTTATTGGATATTTTCGAACGGCAATCACCGAATTCCTGTGTAATGTCCGTAATGTCTTTCAAAACGTTCGGCCGGTCGGCATGATTGCGCAATCGTATTTCACCAAACCAAGTCGACGACGAGCTATGCGGGATATTCGGAACAACTATTACGGTGCTATGTTAACAGATTTTTTTTTTTTCACCAACGACCGAGAAATTCTACATTCGATCTTCAATAACGAAACAAAATTCAATTAAATCATAAATTGTTCGTGTGAACTTTACACGGGCATTTACATTTTCACGGTACGACAAATGATCATAGGCATTTTTTTTTTTTTTTTATTACTTCTTAAGAGTGCGTTTTAAATTTTTTCGATTGATTCGATTGATATGTGTATAATACCATTGGGAACCACAGAACAATCCGTTATCGTTGAATATAATCACGGACCGATAACCGACCGTAGGTACAAGCGTATGGTCATCAAGACCGAGTGTTAACCCCTACGCGCTGCAACTAAGCTCGCCTAACCGCCCACGCGTTATCGTTGTTCGACTTATTGTTTACCATTCGACTCGGCTGTGCCCGAAAACGTTAAGCTCTACGTGTACTATAATAGCATAACGGTGTAGTCAGTAGGCGTGCGAACGAGATAAAGATATGGATTTTACCGGATTTACCGGGCAGTCATAAGGAGTGGTTTTATATGGAACGACATCAGTATCGACAACGACGACCAGTACGAGAAGACTGACGAGGCTGAAGTTCGCGAGACGACAACGGTACACTCGTCCGCAACCGTGTCCTCCATCATGTCCTGAAATAATTCGGAGTAGTCGTCGGAAGTCTGGATACGCAGTGGTGTTGTCGACCGCGGCAGAGCTAAAGGATTGTCGTTCAGGATTGAAAGCGTCCAGCTGGAATGGAAGGGTTGCGGAGACCAAGCACGCGTCAGCTTAAGGCGTTCAACGGACGACGTGATCGACTCGTCGCTAGAACGTCTTGAAGGACTTGTCGCCAAGGACCGGCACAGGATAAATCCACGGTGAAAGTGGGCTGGAATTTCATGCACGAATCGCATTCGGTAAAAATATGTCGATGAACGGAAGAACGGAGTGGTGGTGCTGAGCTGCGGGGATCGATCACCGAGACCGATCGATCTGAATGTTTGGAGGTGAAACCGGTAATGAAGGTAAAACGTCACTGTTTAGTTAGATCGCGGCCGGGTCATTCTTTGCAATCTCCGGAGTTCAAGTTTTGGACCAGTGTGCAGATCAAGGGCGACCTGAAGGAATAGGATCTATGTAGTGGTGGTCTTGAGAGAACGTCAAACAAATACCGAACGGTTTGGACAGTGATCGGAAAAGTTCGAATTGACGTGGTTAAACGGTACCTGAATCCATTCGTGAAGAGCAGACTTTGAGTCGCGATCACGTATGACGTGTACAGTGAAACCATTAAGCGTATTAGAATGTGTTCGATTCGCAGTTACCGTTTTATGGCGTAAAACTATGGTATTCCGTAGAAAAACTCAGACCACATAAAAATTCGAAAACTGCTGCGCACGTACTGAGTATAATATATATGTTGTTTAGTATATTTTTCTACACAATGTGATGTCATCATAAAAATATAAATGGCATCCTTTGATGAGGGTTTCAGAAATTATATAACTGTCTCATTTATCTTTTGATTGATTTGAATTCTCTGTTGATAAACGTCTTAATATTTTTATTTAATTTTTTTTTTATACGACGACCGTAATGATTACTGCATTACGTATAGAAGCAATTCATAGTGCATTGAGCTTTATTATTTTCCGCATGAGTAAGTATGGTGCTATTATTAAACAGTAATTGATGATATTATAGATATAAAAAAAAACTGACAAAAATGTATTTATCGTAATATTATCATAAAACATATTAATAAACTGTACAGTTTTGTATGAACAGTTGATTTAAGAACATTTACGTAATGATTAAATGGTTTTGTACTATTATTCTCTAATCGGTAATTTGCAACAATTTATTATAATAATCTTTGCTCTTCAAAATACCGAATCACGAACAGATTTACTGTTTTTGAAACCGTTACATGATTTACACTAATGTTTACACTCAACGAAACACGGTAAAAATATGATACCAGAAACTTGGTTTGTCTTTTCGAAGTAATAAATTGTTACAAACAAAAGTGAAATATTATCTAAACAAGTCGATTTAAATAGAATTAAATATAAAAAACATATAAATAATGATTTATTTGTTTTTGTTTGTTGCTATTGTTTGATATGATAAATAAAACGAAAAAATCAGCGCGTTAGAGTCTAACGGTCAAACCTTAATTAGCTAATACTCACTCGACGTCATTATGACCAAATCATTATCTAACACACGAATAGTAGTATATCATATATACAATAGGCGTATGACGTCAATTCAACGTTTTTTTTTTTTTTTTTGTCTTTCGATTTTATACAGTCACTATGTCAAACGGATATATGGCGGAATTCGTAGTAGAGATTGAAAAGTAAAACGTGTAAACGAAACCGAACTCTGCGCATACGGATTGTCTACAATGAGTCGTAAATGTATTTATTTATATACAATATATGTTTGTGCATTAGTATTTTATTATGCGAACGCGTATTGTGTGCGCACCTACTTGATATGCATACGATGACGTTAACGTAGACCGATATGTTTTCGGGTTCATTAAAATATGCGAAACGAACACTGCAGTATAAACTATCATTACCGCACACACACGCACACACACACATATGCGCACGCATACATATGAATGTTTTCCGTATACACCGTGCTCACCGCTGACCACGGGGCGATTGTACGAAAACAATCGAGACCAAGAACGGGAGTGAAGTGGAAATCCTACGCAACGTCGTGACTTCGTGGCCGCGCGTAGAAGTTCCACCGAGTCACGAACGTATAATACATTTTATTATATTTTATCTAGTCGAACAATGTCTGTCGTCGTGTTCGGGTAGGGAATATAAAATAAAAAAAAAAAATAAAAAATAAAAATACGCGCGTGTATACAACCCGATAGCGGTGCTCGGTTAAAGCACCTCCACGTTCAGTCTCGTTCGCACCGTATAAAAATAATTGCAATGCGACCGTAAACACTTCTGATTGTGCCGGTAACGATGCCTAACTACTCTACTAACCTAACCCAGTAGTTAACTACAAAAAACGACTTGCGATGTTCTTATTGACCCGAACACCTATTGTCTCGTTCTGTAATGCACACCTATGCTTAAGTATTCGAACATAACGCACACCAGCCGGGTGAGAAGAAAATCAAATAGGGTCAATTGAGCTTATCGATTGTAAATTACTATCTCTAATGTTTTAAAAACGAATGTATTAAAAACAACAGCGAAATGTTGTTTTATGTGTATTGCGACTATACGGCATAACACATCATGTGATCAAAATGTTTACTAATCTTAACCTACGCATAATCGAACGTAGTTCAAATACAATATCAATCCGAAGAGAGGCAGTAATTTCTTGTACAATGAATTTATTATTCTCTCCATGTACTGCAGTGTATTGAAAACTGTACGTTGTAATAAAAACAGAACATATTTTTTGACATCTTATCGCTATATTGTAATTAATCAACAGGTGACATAATATTTTATCTTTTTTGGACAAGTAGCGCCAAGTGATCATCCAAAGACGACAAAAGATGTAGAAAGTTTTTATTCGCCACATCCAAACATGTAAGTACCTAGTTATCGTCGACGCAGTATTGCAAATTCAATCGGAATCGGTCTTGAACTCTAATTCAATATTGAAAAGCATAAACGTTCAGCGAAAAGATACCATGGATAAATTACATTTTTTAGACAAATGTTTTGGATGATTATGTGACAGATTTGATAAATCGATCGAAATATTTAAAACGAATCGGCACAGAATACTATGGTGATAAATCTGTTTAGCCAACGACGCAGAAGCAATGACATTAAAATTGATAAAATACGTACGAAATAACTGTGCGCAATCGTATTTTGGTGCGCGAACGGTCGTAAAAAGGGTAAATTCACACAAACGGGTATGGCCCCGTAGCACCAAAGTTCGTGCACACGTACACACACACGCGACATTAAAATTAATAATTTGTTTAAAATGTTAATAATAATATTTACAACGGTAATAATGATAAAAGCGATGACGATAGTAATAAACGCGAACAAAACAATGTGTGCTAACCAACTCGTGCGAGTACGTTCGAATCGTCAAGGTTGAACAGTACGTGTATGTATACGGTGTATCTACGTAAACGTGCAATTTTATCCGTCGACCAGAGTGTACACACGAACGTTTTCACGTCGTAATAACAGTATCAACTGATTGGTAACAATCAATATCGACGGTACAAACAACACGTATGAACATCAAAAAATACGTCATGAATACGCCCGTTGGATATTTTTGTCGTTATTCGGGTAATAACCGTGCGCGTAATTTTAATACGGCCCCAAGGCCAGGCATATTGCTAATTCAGTCAAACCGTCAAATCGGTCCAGCACAAAATATAGGTAAGTTCGAAGCTAATAGTAAAGAGTCGAATAGAAAAATATTCGAACTCGGTTCGAAATATGTTATTATTATTTTTTCTACGATATTAACGTAAATCTTGTGTTATATGGACCATGTTACGGACCGCCAGCAATGGAGGATACGTCGCAACGAGGAACCGAAGAACTTGTTCCGAAGACCGAACATTGCTGCGGAAATTACGAGAAGAAGATTGATATTTCGCTCGGAGGAAAGAGGATTCGTCGGTCACAGGCGTTCATCACGTAAGATCCGATTGGGAAAATACCAACAGGCAGACCGCGTTTACGATGGGTATACCGTGTCAAAAGGATATGAAAGCGAATGCAAAAACGACCGACCGATCGTTAGTTGCAGCACGTCGCGGAAACAAATCGAGCTCGTAGGGTTGAAACGATTGATCGGAGAGCAAAAAAAAAAAAAAAACAAAAAACGTAGACCCTTCAGCGACCGATTCTCGGTCGAGAGTCACCGTAACCGTTGGCCTAACATAAACTTTAATGGTCGTCACGACGAGCAGCCTTGTAATGAGATGGTCGGTCGGGAACGAAATCAAAACGACATATGCGCGCGGTAAATTCTGTTTCGCCGTTGTAACCAACTGTAAAAAAACGAATACATCGTGTGTGCGTGTGCGTGCGCTGCAGGTACGGACACGATCACGCGCGTTAGATGAACGTAAAAACCGCATACGGTTCCCGATGTCCTCCAAAGCGTTACGGCCATCGTGACGACAGCTGCGGTCGTTGAAAGCGGAATAAACGTTAAAAAAAAAAATAAAAAAAAGGTACCAAAAAAACACCGAACTTCGCGGTACTTCCAAGTACTACGCGCGATCGTACGCGTATTGTCGCAACGTCGTCGTACGGTTATGTACTCCGCGCGCGAGCGATTAACAGCACGAGTTGACCCTATTTTTTTTTATTTTTTTAATTAAATTTTTTTTTTTTGTGTTTCACCGTGATCGCGAAACGTACATCCGTCGACCGTTCCGCCGGTTTTGGTCTTGGAGGTCGTCGCGAGCAATTAATTGCGATTCAACTCCGCGGTCTCCGGAGGCGTGCGGCAGGGGCGGGTTAGGGTCAGGTTTCTCCGCGTGGGGGGCGCACATCCATGTATGCACAGATAAAATACATATACATTTACGTGGTTAGTTGTAGCTTTACGGAAAAATATCAATATTTTTCTAAAAAAAAAAAAAATAAGCGATCTTAAAACGTTGTAAAAATCACACGTTCGGTTATGAATCGGTTGATCATATTATTCTGTTTTTATTATTGTAATAAATACAAACGAAGGGTTGTTTGCAACCGCATGATGTAAATCAATGTTCTTTTTCTTTGCACCTTCGTGTCGAGTAATTTATGACTTTTTAACCTTTTTTTCTTATTATTACGAGGGGAAGGTCGAGACCCGGGAACCCACTCCCGCCGTGACGAGGGGCGCAGACGATTTAAGAACAACGCGATCCCCACGATCGCAGTTTTACGACGAAGAATCAATCTTTCGGGTACGACTCTGTTAGGAGTGGAGGATACGTTACCTGTTGTCGGATCACCGGTCGAAAAATAGACACAGTCTATCCCACAGCGTTACGCGCGCATAAACGTAAACGTATTGTTTCAATCGGCCGTTTGTTGGCGTAGTCCGTGCGGGATTGGAAAAAATTTAATTCTTCGCGTATAGTTTTTCTCGACGTACACGTTACTGCGGTGTACGAACTAGAGCTCTTAATACACGTGAATTCACGGAATTCACGTGTCACGTGTCACGTGTAAAATCCAAAATATAAACGTATATCCTTAACTTAATACTGTACTATTAATATTTTATTAAAACTTCAAGTGTATAACACAAAATTACTAATTTTACCATTGTAAAAATGGATATATATTTTGGATAAACATGTATTTCACGTGTACACGTGAATTCCGTGACACGTGTTTTAAGAGCTCTAGTACGAACGTAAAACAGCATATATGTGGCGGAATACCTCCTACTTTCATGGAAACGGTTTTACCCTTACGGGCGGAGCCGTCCTTTGGATTTAGGCGAGGCCCAGGGCAAAAACACTTGTAAAACCTTTTAGCCATTAACCATAACCGTATAAAGACATCAGTAGTTCACACAAACAATTGGGTAGGAACCTTACTAATTGAATTACAATTTAAAATAAGGGTTGTATTATTATTTTTGTTATCAAATGTATATGTATAATCCAGTCGAAGAAAATAAAATAGTTTTACAATACACTTGAATAACATTTTTTTTTCTTTTTATGTACTCATCTATAACTCATTAATCGACACTTTCCATATCTGTACATATTTTCTTAAATATAATAAAATAAAAATTAAAGTAAAAAAATACAGTAACAAATTATTTTGTTCATCAAACTTAAATTTTTTTGTTCATCTGGTTCTAGTTGCACGTTTTCGTATTCATGACTATCGCTATAACTGGATTTAACTTCCACTTTTTCAGAATTAACATCGTCACTATCACTCGATCGGAAGTTTGCGTTTCTATAGGTATTTGCTTTCAATTTGACCACTCTTGGCTATATTGTTATTTATCTATAATTATTTGTCATACCGGTAATTTTTAAACATTCGAATAAAGTGGTTTTTTGATGTTCATGTCGATGTTGTTTAGTAATTTGATATTTTCGTTTTTCAACACCACTCTTAAACTGTTGACTATCACGTGATCGACCGTTCATAATACAATTTATTAACCACGCCCGATGACAACAGTAAACTGTGTGCACACTAAAAACTAATGGTGACATGAAATTGCAGTTGTAGTGATTTTTTCACAGTGATTCCAAAGTAATCACAAATTACTATTTAGATACTGAGATACCAGTGATTGCTACTTTTTGTTTTTAGTACACGTGGGCTGATAGTGAGTATGATATTGTAATATAATTCACTGTTATAATGTTATTCTATCGTTCAATTATTAATAATGTCGTCATAACATGATATTAGCATAATACGTGTGTTGCGATTGTGAAAATGTTGTTATTGGTTATTTTGACATTTACTTTTGATATTTACCAATTATATAAAACGCACAATCTAAATGCTACGAAAATAAAACAGTTCTTAAAACCAATTCTACTACACTTTTTAAACGCGAGGCCTCAAGTTTAAGCAAAATGCGCGAAGCCCTGGGCATTGTCCAAGCTCTGCTTGCAGCGGATTAAAGTTAAAACCGCTAAACTCATTATTTTACGAGCAACAACAGGTTTTTAAATTTCGCAGAAAGGACTTCGAACTAAGGCAAAACGAATTCGAGGGACTTGGGTTCAATAAAAAAAAGTGCTTTCGCGTTCTGCGTTATTCTGTTAAACGCATTGAAAAGTCAGAATAACAATTGAAACATTAAACAAAAACAACAAGTAAACAATAATGGACTTCGTCGGAGAGATCGTGTATTCAGGGACCGATTCGAACCGTCACCGTAAAAGCGCGCGATAGAGGTTCCGAAAAAAATTATTTGAATTCCTCGCGAAACCATTCAGTCGTAAATCCTCGACCCTGTCCGTCGCTCACGGTCGCCGTTTCGATACCACTGCTGGGCTCCGGATGTCCAAATCAATTCGTAGCCCCTCACTACGGGTCGTGTGGAGTCGATCGTAATAAATCGTTGGACAGACGACGGACGCGGATGATGAAACACTTTGGTAACGTTCAAAACGAATCGGATTCGCATTGCGCCGGTCGGTACCGATATTAAAATATCACTGGCATACCGTTACATCGACGATCTCATTGATCTCGTGCACGGTAGCTTTATCGCATGTATTTTCGTCGTGTACCGCGGGTTTACCGCTTTCCGGTGATGGACGTTTCTCCGAGGCCATTGACTGTTCCGCGCGGCCGCACCGCGCGTCGTTCGCACCCGGTACGGAGCAGAACATATTTTAAGCGATTTGGTATTTCAATAAAATCGTCTAACATCGGAGTTTGTTAGGACGTGGTGTTCTTCCGCAGAGCAACGTACAGGAAAAATCAACTCCTGTCACTAGGGTCGTCATGAAAATGTGTTGGTCGGATCACCCACCACTGGGTAGCATTCAACTATCACTGGGGGGGGGGGGGGGGCACTAGTGCCACGTACTTTGTAAGTTAAAATATGCTCTGGTACGGCAAAATAATTTTTTTTCCAGGGGTGGGGCAGAGTGGGACATATTTTTTTTTTTCACGCGGGCTAAAGTTTTTTTTTACCAAATACCGAGGTTATTTACATAAAAAATATAAATGTTTTCGTAACGTATCACATAATGTAGCTGTTGTTATTTCCGTGACATACGAACACGAACAAATGGTAATAAATCATAAGCAAATAAGTAAAATATATACACGATTCAGGGTCTATCTAAAAACTTAAAACACAAATATTCGAGAATACGAAAGTGTTTACATGAATTACGAATTTTTAAAAATTATGTATCATAAATTGTTTGATGTAGCTTTTTTAAAAATAATTTATTATGACTCTATCAAATCGTACATATTTTTCAGGGAGGGGCTAGAGCATTTCCTTGTCCTTCCTTGATGCCGTGCCTGTACGACGATAAGTGTTCTCGTTAAGGCCACTCACGCATCGCAACGGTACAGATGGTACACAGGTACGTTCAAGGTTGTAAGTGGCGAGCGAGGACAGGGAAAACTCTGATCTATGTATCATTCTCAGCGTTCCACGTGTTCCCACAAAATTATCAAATAATTAATTACCAATACGTTTACCAAGACGTTGTTAGTGAACAATTTCATTCACCAGCAATTATTGGTGCGTTTTAAAAATGCATAGACTTGTAAATCACTAACTTAGTGTATTCGATTACTGATTGTAAATATATATTAATAAAATAAAAATAAATTTTTTTTTAAAAAAACCTGTATATATATAAGTATATCCTTTATAATTTTACGTTTAATACAAGTTTTTTTTGAACACTGTTCAATGTCACTTGATGAGACATCGAGTGAAGCTAATTTTTCAACTGTCTTGTCGCCTACGATTATTTTTAACGAACGGTTTAGCGTTTCGGTAAACTTTTCAGAGAAACGTTAAAAGGGACGTTTTGCAAGAGCTGTGACAGGCAGGGTGACCAAGTCTCCTAGCGCCCCTTCCGACCCACGTTAATCCTTGAATATGTTTTTTCAGTGACGGTGACGAATCCACCGGCAAAACGAACGTACGACGAATACGCGAAAAGGTTCTACTCCGGGTCCATGGACGTCGGATTTCGATCGACGTTTTTCGCAAGAGGTCATCGGTGTGCGAACAACGATATCGTTGCGTTCACGTTGGAATCGTCTTTGGTCTCGATTTATCGGCGCACATGATTTATCAACGGTTCGATGTGCACTCTAATGTCATATCGATTACGTCGTGCGGATTATTAGTTACCGACGTGGTATGGATACGAATGGTTGTTGGTTTAAGTTGCACTGATGGCGATGTACACGCGTGGGCTTGCGTTGAAGTTGAAGTTACTTTTTTTTTTTTTTTTGAAAACTCGGACTTGCAACCCTGAGGTAAAACGAACATCGCGAGCAAATAAATTGGTAAACGTCCACGCGAGTTTTTCAGAAAATAATAGTTTGTGACACGTCAGCGATTGGTCGATTGCCGACGTCGGCCACTGCGGTGGTCGAAAACGAACGTGACATTATACGCGTTTTGAATCGTTTCGGACGAGGGAAACGAGATCGATTGTTTGTCGATTCGCCGGCGGTAACCGTTGATCGTCACCAACCATCGGATTGATCGGTCGGTTTGATCGCGGGTCGAGAAAGTCGAGATTCATCGATAAAAAAAAATAGCCCGCGGTTCGACAGGACGTCCTTAAAACATTTGACGTTGCAGGTTCTTGGAGTCGGACTCTTGCGATGAAGGCTACTCGAGTTTGAAGACCGGAAACATTTCGTGGCCTTCAAAGGTTTAGTCGTCTCTGGCACACCCGGTTGTGTCGAAACGCAACAGGTTTGCCGTCAATGTTTCAGACTGCGACGCACGAAAATACGTAATTAAGTCGCGGACCGTATACATTATGTAAAATATTAACCGTATACAGTCGTGAACTATGCGTCCATGCATAAATAATATTTTTATCGAACTTTTTATGGTTATGGCAGAAGGAGAAAAACAAATACTATTTTATCACATTGCGTTTTAGGTAGTCATCTGTTTAACGTATACATGAGTTGACGTTCAATTACGACAGAAATGTAAAATATTGTTAACTGTAATCAACAGATTATTCATCAAGTGTCCATTACAACTACTTGTACGACGAACCGTAGTTTCATTTTGCACATTTTTTTTTCAGATATATTAACACTTCATTGTTACCAGTTTTTGCATTCGGTTTTTTTTACATTCGATCGCAAAGGCAAAACACTATTTCCGACTAGGGGAAAAAGATGAATGCTTGTAGGCAACTTTCAGTATTTTCGTGCATTATTTTTGCTACGATTATATTTTACCAACGAATATATTATGGATAAATAAAATTACATCGGTTACGGTGCATTACGAATAGAATGTATTAAAAAAGATCCAATAACTTCACACGTTCTTTTGTAACCCGTTGCGTTGTTGAACTATTTGCTGTCTTCTATATCATTCGACTTGAAAAAGTATAAGGTTATCTATTTGTTATACAGTTAAGACACATAATTGTACATGCATGCAATGTTGAACTATTTCTGACGGGCTGAAGGGTCAACTGAATAGAATGTAAATAGCATAATATTGTCACGGAGTTTTGTGAAAACATCGAATCTAAGACATATTTTTCAGTTATAAACATGCTGTACGCATCAGAAGGTACTACTCGTACACATTAACATAATCAAACGATCGTTTCGAGATATGTTACGTTAAACACATAACTCACGGTTCATCTTAGAAGAATTCTATTAATTATTCGATCCGAATTGTCGAGATCTTTTGCTGATTGAGACTCAAATTCTACGAGCTGCTCTCATTTTGGTGCACTTAAAAATAACCAATGTGACGTCATGCCGAAATAGGTCGTTAAATCATGGCCAACTCATATGTCTCGAAAAAAGGAAACACAAATAGACGGCAGGAAAAAAAAACTCACAACGTCTACAGCAGATGTGTAACATAATAAATGTAGTATTATATTCGTAGAATGTATTCTATTGAATTGTACACGTTACGACGCGTGTCGCAGTTAATCCTTTTGAGTCGCAATAGTTCATTATATTGTTCTCCTGCGTGCGTGTAACAATATTAGAACTATAAATAAATTGAATCGACGAATTTTTAAACGTGTGAATCTTTTGTCGAGTACAATATAGCGTTGTGTTGAATACGCTATAGTACTCTGTGTGTCTCTGTGTAAAAAAAGCTGAGTCAAAATGAGTCAAAAACGCAAACCAGCTGGTACTAGTAGTAGTAGTACTCTACACAACTATATTAGTATTAAATCAAAAATTTCAAAAATCAATGAAACACCCAATTCTCAAGAACTAATTGTTTCGCCATCAACATCTGATATTGTTGGTAATTAAGAAAATTTTTCTTCTTAAGACAACATTATTTGTCGATAAAAAACTCAACGATAACGAAATAATTCAAGTTGTACAAAATGTGTGGGTCCCCAATAATAATTTTAATTTTCCTAAACAACAAATTGGCAATCAAAATAGGATTTTAATATATTTTAGTTAATTAAATACAAATGGCTAACATATTAAAAAATTGAAGATAATGTTTTTTGCGTATTATTTTCACCTGCTGAGGCTGGTAATAGTTTCAACCAATCACTTCAAACATTTGTAAAAAAGGGGTACAATAATTGGAAAAAGGGCTTAGAAAAATTCGAAAAACATGGAAATGTAAACTATCGTAAGGAAGCTAATTTAAAAGCAGACCATTTTATGGATGTTATGTCAGGAAAAATAGTATCGATTGATAAACAAATTGACAAAGTTCATCACCAAAAGGCATTAGGAAATCAAGATAAACTTAAATCTATAATAAAAACAATTATTTTGTGTGGACGACAATATCTACCACTTAGAGCACATCGAGATTATGGAACTTTTAATTTGAAAGCAACGAAGGTAATTTTAGAACGTTGCTTAGAGCACGAATCGATTCAGGGGACACAAATTTAAAACAACATTTAGTGACTTGTGGAAAAAATTCTACGAATATTCAAAACCATTTAATAGATGCTTGTGATGAAATTATTTTAACTGAAGTTAACAATGCTAAATGTTTTACCGTACACGCAGACGAAACATCTGATATTTTCTCTATTGAATAATTTTCATTGTGTGTAAGATGTACTGAGTCAATCGATAAAAACATTTTTAAAATAGTTGAATAATTTTTAAAATTTGTAATAGTAGAATCAACTTCGGGTCAACATTTAGCTGATATACTTTTAACAACACTGAATAGATGTGGTATTAACTTAAATTATTTACGTGGGTAAAGCTACGATGGGGCTGTAGCGATGAGTGGCAAATTTAAAGGTGTACAAGCGTGTATAACAGAAAAATATCCAACTGCACTTTATGTACATTGTGTTTCACACAGTTTAAATTTGGCTTTATCGATTTCGTTACTGTTATTGTAAAGATTTATTTTGTCGGGCCAAATCAAAAACAAACGGTCCTGACACGAAAAGGCCCGGCCGGCGTTCAACACATCGGCACGTGCGTCAATCCGCCCCCGTTATCGAGTACTGTTGTAATGTGAACGAAATCGTGCGACGAACAAAAGCCATCGTCGCCGTCAAATGCTCGGACGAACGTACGAAATCGATTCGCGGAGGTCACAAGAATTCGGTATTCATTTGCTACGAATACATTTTGTAATGTTGCGATCGCTCGTAGAAACATGGTTCCCTGTTGAAGTGCAGGCAGTAGGCAAACCAAAAAAGTGGTCGTCGTATCCAACAAATAATGGTATGTTTACTACCGCGGCGCCAGTGTAAATATTTGAGAGAGATTTCTAATTTTTTTCTCGCTTTTTTGGAGTAAAAAAAAAATTTAAAATAAAATTAAAAAAACCAAATCTCAGCAAACAAGATTCTCGGGAGAGAAAAAATGAAGAATTCCGTCAAGACTTTAACGGTCTCCGCGCGATTTATAAATATATGAATATTAAAATATACGTTGTTGTTTAGACGGCCGTTCATCGTTCGTTTTGAAAAAAAAATTCATTAAAAAATGCTTATTACGTATTATTTTTAAAATAAAAAATAGAATAAAATTATAAAAAAAAACTTAGAATGCAATTGAATTTTTACGTTATTCGTAACGTGTAATTCACCCGTTTGTAAAAACATATTTGGAAATTATTATATTTTTACAGGTTTAACTGTTCCATCGCTAGAAGTAGTGAATATTAATTTAAGTTTGTAAATTACACCGTTTGTTACATAATATATATCTTTGCGTGTTTCGCGATACTGCGGTCCACGTATTTGGGTACAGAATAGGTATCTTTACCCGCGTTCCACATAGTGTTCGGTAGGTACCGTAGATACCGGCGATGTCCACCACTCGTTATTGAGAGCAAGGCAATTGAATTCGATAATTTGTCAGGAAAACCATTTCTGTCCGTTGCATCTCTACGACGTTGTTCGATTAAAAATGTTTTTCTTGATGATAAAATAACTTATTTGGTAGGCCGTTAAAGCGTGACAACAAC